AAATGAAGTTCAGCAACTCATTCTGACTAATGTTAATTCAGAGGTTATCGTCAATTAGATTCATGTAAATCCTCTGTTAATATCATGTCCCACTCTAACAAACATTACTAAGGGACAGAAGGATTTACAGGGCAATTTTACATCTTAATGAGATCTAAAATGTCATGTCACAATAAAAATGTAAGCAGCAGGTTATCTCACAACATGTACACACTGTACATCAATCTAACAAACTAAGATTTATCCGGGTATCCCCACATAACAATAATGTTGAGCTCTTCTTGCTCAGAACTAAAAGTTCATCTTTTCTTGGTGAAAACTAATTTCTGTTATAAATGTTATACAACGTAAAATCTCTAACTGTGAAAGACAAAAAAATTTAAGCAAGATGCTTTAACAACACTCTGCAGCTATGCTACTCATTTAATACACAACTCTCTCCAGCATGTACCTATTTCATTGGAAACATTTCCCGTGGAAAGAACAAAGTTATCGTAACAGCAACATGGTCATAGGAATACATAATATCTACAAAACTGTTCTTAGAGGGACTGGCCAGTCAGATGGGTGAAACAAACACATCATTTGTTCTCATTCTGATCCAAACTGCTGACTTCTGAGCTAGAAGTAAAAGTCAGCCCATTACACAGTTAAGCTTCCTTATGAAAAGCTGCTTATACCGTGCATTGTTAATACTCCCAGGAATCTCATACCCATGCGTTACAGAGCTTTACTGCATTTTTACATATTCAATGCCATTATGCCACTATTCCTCACAATGAGTAGTATCTTGTTGATTACACTTACTGGCATCAAGGTTTGCCATGCATAAAGCATCACTTAACCCCAAGTAAAACTGACAGAAGTAAGATTAAAAATACTGCTTTAATTATGCCATCCCCCACATGCTTCTTAAAAAGAATTAAAATGTGTAAGAGACTAGCCTGTAGACTGATAGAATTTATTGAAAGCAAAATTCCACAATGATCCTTGAGTGTGAGATACACATTAACAATTTAATATAAAAGCTGAAGTTTGAATAAACATTAGAGTTTTTTGAAAGAGCTATATATCAAATCAGAGCTTCAACAGCTGTACTTCAAAGGCTGAAGTAGAAAAAACAAAACATTACAAGTACTTCCCCAGAAATAGATTTCTCTAGGATTCACTAATATCAGTGAGCCAGATAGTAGAATAACAGAAACAGACATAGAATAACAAGACAGTAGAATAAGGGAAAACAAAGATTAAAACCAGAAATTCTATACAAATTCCTAGTCACAGAAAAGAAAACATTCAGGAGTGATTGAGGTTGAATGTTTTTGTTTGGTCATTGTTTCTTTTTAAAAAGCAAGAAGAAATGTAGTATAAAAATTCCAAACACCTCTTTTCGCATAAAAAACAGCACTTCAAATCCAGAAGCAAATATATCAGGGTAATTTGGAATAATGTAATATTCAAGGTGAGTATACAGTAACAGAATTCAGTCCAGTTAAAGTTATTTGCAATATACCTGATTCAATGCAATGTAAAAGTTGAAGGTCTGTGGTGACAATTTTTTCTTATTGATTTCTGGAACATGACATCAATAACCAGCACAGACAAATCACAGAACTGAAGGCTGCAGGACCGAAAGTCAGACACAGACCTTAAATTCCCATATGGCATCAGTGAAAAAGAATTAAGATCAGATTTTGAATTTCAAAACACATGTACTTCAACAGAGAAAAAACCAAACCATAAATACATACTTACAGAACAAATAATGCTGCTAAAACTACTTTTTTAAAGCTCAGATTGATGACTAAAGCATGTTACTTTCTTGGAAAAGTCTTCTAGTTATATTTGGGTTGGCAAGTGGTTTTTAAAACATTTACATCAGGGCAGAAGACTATGCTCACATCAAAATTTCAAACCAGCCCTAGCACTAAGTTCATTTGCCTTATTTTATATATTTGTTTATCCACATTATAAGAACAGTTTCCTATATCATTTATTTACATTATCTAACAACATCAGCAAGTATGTAAGACTAACTGCTCTATACACATTACATGTATTTGTACATTTCAACAAATAAAATAACTGTGTTTTATCAGACAGTATGATAGGATAAGATAGGATATAAGAACAGGATAAAAACATCACTGTGACCTAAAGCAAATATACTATTTGGCCACAGGATTTAGCTCCCAGTTCCACATGTTTCACCTTATAATATACAGAAATAAGCAAACTAATTAGTTGTAGGGATTTATAAGGTTTGTTTTCACTTTCTTTTTCCTTCTCTTTCCCACCTCAATGGCATTTCTGCTTCCTAGTTAAATTTGTAGGGCTTTCCATCCAATACACTCAAATATTTCTTCTTAGCATTATCCTGTCATTCACCCTGGTTCACAAGTGAAGTGTTCACTGGCTGCCAGAACTGCCACAGTGTGTCTGGCTTGCAAGGGTAAGAAATAATGGTATCATTCAGCAAATTAGATTGGTGACTTCTCCAGAAAGCTGGAGTACTATTAGAATATACTACTATTAAGTTGAATTTTGATCATTTATATTTTAGTTCTAGTGTATCAATCCCTTCTTTAAATAAAATTATGACTGACATCATTTACAGTTTGGATACCTTTTTAGATCCCATTAAGGCTAATTCCAAACAAAACAGCATGGAATCATTTAGTTCAAAAAGTTTCCACCATTTATCCCTTTCATTAATCATTTAAAGACTTCATGTCAGCAACTGAAAACATTCATGCTGATCTCACAAAGAGCAGACAATATATTATGCATGCTGCCCACTGATTTATCCTTTGAGAAAGCTCTTGCAGGCCACTTGCCAATACTGCCACTCACTGTCTAAAATATAAATAGAAGTGCTTCTAGAATATATAACTAAATAATAATTGCCAGTGGTTCAAACCAGCAGGCAGTTAAAATCCCTATCCTGTGCAACATCAGCCGGTACCAGATGCTTTAGAGAAATATATTTTTGAGTGGACTACTCTGAAGCAGTACATCCACTACTGAAGCATCTTCCTAAATTCCCTCTTAGGATGACTTATCTCTTCATGTTTAAAACAAAATACCATCACACACACAGAGTCTATACAGATAGTTGCTCACTTTTGAAAAAATCCTACTTGGTTTTCAATCAGAATAATTTTGTAATTATTATGATTATTATTCAACAAATCCCACAACACTGCCATTTCAGGAGGCCAAGGACAAACTGCACATCACATAAATTCCATGAGATTCAGAAACAAATTGCCCAGAAAAGTTGTGGATCCACACTATTGGAAGTTTTCACGGTTCCAGCTTTAAACAGCTACTGCAAGATGACCCTGTCCACAGCAGGAAAGCTGGACTAGATGACCTCTAAAGGTCCCTTCCTTTAGAGGGAACCATTCTAGGATTCTGAAGTCTGTACTTGCCAGTCTAACACCACTAGGAAGATTTGCCTACAAAACTGAGCAGTTCAGTTTCTGAAGATCAGAACTCCTCAGATTTTCTTCTAGGACAAATTCCTATTTCCAGAAGGCAACTTCATTGTACAAGCAATGTCAACAAATTCCACACGATTATCCATGTATGAATTATTCATGAGTAAGTACTTACAGAATTAGCATCTTAGCAATTACAAAAAGAATAATTTTTGCCTGTATTTCTTTACAAGTAATGGAAAAGATAGGATTAATTTAAAATTGTTCTAAAGGCAGTTTTATTGCCACTAAAATAACCCCATTGAAACAATGGTCAGTTATTTTCCAATGAATAGTGCAACTATTTTGTTAGTCAATCATCACGATGATGATTACTGCATTTGATAGGAAAAAAAAAACAAAACCAAAAGAAAACAAAAAATAAACCAAAACAACAACAACAACAAAAAAAACCAACCAAACAAAAAAACCCACCCTCCACACAAACCAAAATCCAACTAAATCAAAAATTTCCAGCAGCAACAGCTTGTACTATGCTATTTAACTGGCTTTACCTCAGCAGTTTAAATTTAAAGAGTCAGCTTTAAGTAGAAATGCAGTAAATGAAAACTGGAAAGAAAATTCCCCGCCTACAGCTGTTACCTAAAATTAAACACATTTCTCTTGAAATCTCAAGTGTACTTCAAAAAGGCACCATGTGATCATATTTAGTTACTGCACTGTAGTTAAGAACATTTTATCCACAACAGATAAACAAAGATTTCAGTGAAACATGTTAAAAAATTAGCCAAGGTGAAAACCAGGTACAATTACTTAAGAGTCTCTAATCGGTAATTACATATTTCATTCTAAGAGCAACCTATAACTTAGGAACATTTTCTTTTTGAGCTTGTTATAACTTGCAACATAGGTAAAATGAAATAAACTACACATATTTCAGAGGGTAAAAACTCCACCCTCAAATAGAAGAACTTGTGTTAGGTAGAATAATTCTGTGTAAAGAGATGTGTGCTATTGGAATAGAACTAAGTAGATGACTTGTGCAAAACAGTAGGTGGTCTTAAACATCTCCAAGGAGATTGATTAAATGGCTCCAATCCAGTTAAAAATCCTTATCATTTTACTGAGACAGCCAGCAAACATGACAAAATTCCATGTCTGTAGCAATTTTATTTTTTAACAGAATTGGGTCAAATTTTAAAGTTGTTATAGCACATACATTTTAAGGAACCCAAAAACATTTTTTAAAAACGTCATTACACGGTAGTAATATGTATAATATTATATTATAATATTATACATATATATATATATATATATATANAATATTATAATAGTATAATGTCACACACCACTCCTCATTCAAAAGGTCCTGTGTTAACCAGGTGTTCTTACTTCAACCACCAGGATGAAGCACAAAGATTTGATATTTGGACAGTATCCTTGAAAGTTTACTTATTTCATTTATATTAATACAGTTATAGAAAGGGACTTACTGGTTTTGGCACATACAAAATAAACTGCACGCAAGAGATTAAATAATAAAAAAGTACTTACGAAATCAAAGTCTCCATCCTGTGGGACTTTCCAGTTATCAGGGAAAACGTTTTTGGATATGTGGTAAGGTTCATGCATGTTCTGATTACAGTTTTCAGGGCTTTTATTCTTGGACTCTTGTTTATCAAAGTAGTCCATGAAAGAAGGTCTTTGAACTTGTGGTGAAGTAGCATTTCCTTAGTTGAAAGAAAACAGAAAAAAAGGTAAAAAACTATTCAAAGATTAAAGAATTAATGCACTATAAATTAAACTTCACAAATTCATTTTCCTGGAGTTTGCAGAAACTAATACAGTCATCTATGTGTGATGCAAGCCTCTGTTTGTCCCCTGAGGATCTTTGGCATAAAAGCTCATAGTCAAAGTATGATATTTTTGCAGCAAGATACAACGTGGAGAAATGTTCAAGACATTTCAGAGTTGCACACACAAATAATATTAGAAGTTACTTCATGCAGTATCAATTTGTTGTTATAGAGACTGAATAACATGAGATGCTAAGCATCCCTTTGGTTGCTGAATGCCCCTAACTTCAAGGCTTGGTCCACAGGCACTTGTAAGGAAGGAACAGAGTTTCAGTAAAGGTGGAATTTAATAATTATTTAGAAAAAGAACTTGCAAAATATAGCTACACAAGTTGTGCCTAGATGCTGCTTAATTTAATTCATTACCAATGAAGATTCCCAGAAAACTACAGGATCACCCTCTACAGATGGTTGCAAAGCACCCTGTCTCCACACTGGGAGATTTTTGTCATCACCAAACAGCTGCAAAAGCTTTATGAAGCAGATTGAGATCAGCTTTAACTCCTGCTCTTTATCCTTTTCACATAACTAAAGGTAAAAAAAAAATCTAAATTATTAAAATTTGTTTTCATTTGTGGGATTTCAAAGCAAATTCATTACTAAATAGAACAATAAATAAATATAACTAATCTCAGAGATCGTATTCTGCATAGCATTGACACATTAAATGTACTTGCTGGAAGTGCAACACATTTGACATGAAGATATATGAAATGTATTTCCACAAATAAAATACAGAACAGGATAAGAGATAAATAACTAAGATGAGGAGAAAAACCTAACATCAAAAATCAGACAAAACTACACATTTAAATTACAAGCATAACAAAGTAATAGGATTGTACTTGTTTTAAGTGAAAAGGTAAACTGAAAGTACATTTTGGGCTTGTGTTTAACATGATTACTAAGACTTGCTAATTTCCTTATCGACTTTACAGTTGTTTTTATTCATTCACTAAGTGGGTTCCCCCCTCCTTTCACTTCTTATTTCATTATCTCTTCTCATCTCCTTTGTCTAAAGATTTTCTAATTTCTTCTAGCATTTTTTAATCTGTGCTTCTACTGTCATGCTCTAAGCTTTAGAGAATTTGACTTCAGCTGCTTTCCTTCAACTCTACAGTGATTGCTTCAATCTGCTATTTCCACATGCACCTTCTTTTCCTCACATTTTATAGCTGATTTTTCTCTCAGCTTTTGGCACATTTTTTCATATAGTTTTTCCTAATCCCAGATCTCTACTCACTGTATTTCAATTAATAACAACTGTGACCTAACAATTCAGTGAATTAAACTCCAGGTTGAATTTAACTGACCAGACACCAGACACCCCTTCTCCAGAATCTCTCAAGTTTGCCCCCACTAAACTCAACATCACTTGAAGGGTGTTTCTTGATTTCTTGAATCTGGGACTGAGAAAGGGATGAGAACTAAACAGCAGGGATGCCAAATAACTACAGAACAGAGCACTAAAGAGCAAAAACCATAGTCATAGAATGGGTTGAGTCAGAAAGGACCTTTAAAAAACATCTAATTCCAGCTCCCCTTCCATAGGCAGGGCTGCCTTCCACCAGACCAAGGTTCTCAAAGTCCCATCCAAATTGACCTTGAACCCGTCCAGGGATGGGGCATCCACAGCTTCTCTGGGTAACTTCTTTCAATATTTTAAAACCCTCATCATAGATAATTGCTTCCCAGTATCTACTCTAAACCTCCTCTCTTTCAGTTTAAAGCCATTATGCCTTGTCCTGTCACTACAGGTCATTGTCAAAAGTCCCCTTCCAGCTCTCCTGCAGGCTCCCCATTAGGTACTGCAAGGTCCTACAAGGTCTCCCCACAACATTCTCTTCCCAACAGTTTCAGTCAGTTTTCATATCAGAGGTGCTCCATCCCTCTGGTCATTTTCAGGGTCCTCCCCTGGATTTTCTGCAACAGCTCCATGTCCTTGTTTTCAGGGTCCTAGGGCTGAACACAGCATTACAAGGTGGGATCTCATGAGAGCTGAGACGAGCAGAAGAAAAATGGAAGAATCTAAATTTTAGAAAAGCACACATTTAGAAAACTGATCCAAGAGAAGAAAGTAGTATGAAGGAGGTAGAATTAAAAACAGAAATACAATGCATTTTTTAAGTACTAACTGTTCATTACTTGGTGATTGCTGCCCAAAACCCCTGAAACTGTTTGTACCAAAAAGATACCACGTTGCTGGCCTTTCACAACCAATTTTTTCTTCTGCTGAGATGGCTGTACTCAAGTTTCATCCCTGAGACATAGCTATAAACAAAAAGATTGCCAGTGTCTCTGTTCAAAACTCTAAGTACCAAAATGTTGGCCAATTACAGGTAAGGCAGTCTCCAGCCTCTCACATATAAGGCAATACTAAAGACTTTCCAAGAATTGCTCGAAAGTTTTAAAACTATTTATAAATATTTTCCTTATACATGCCATAGAAGACTACCGACATACAGAAACCAACCCCTCTGAATTCCTTGCTACCAAATGCATATTATGGAAACTGGGTCAATAGGACAGAAATTACTCCAAGGTAAGCAAAGAACATTTATTTTTTACTTTGAGAATGTCCTTTATTTGTTTTGCTAAATAAGAATTTAGAACTCACTCCTGATTTCAATCGAGCATACAGTCAGTTAACCCAATTAAAAGAGCAAGACCTGCTTACCTTCACTGCAAATATAAAAATGCACACACAAAACCAGAAATGACTGCAAAATGATGGGACGAGAGGTATTTCAACTTTTTGTTATCTCTTCCTCCAATGTAAAAAATCCCAAAGAATTTATTTAGAAATTTATTTCTAAGGTTTTGATTTATTTTTATAAATAAGTAAATGAAAAAAGAGACACTATTTCAGTCTCTAGCTAGCCTAACAGGTTCAGTTAGTGTTTCATAGGAACAGGTTGACATCTACCAGTTTAAAGGGCATGTGAAATTTCCTATCTCTTTTGTATTTACTTTATAAAACACTCAGGACCTTTATGCCAGAGCAAACTGATATAGGTTGAATAGGCATCTTTTTTACTTTTTCTTTCTAAAATGAGATCACTTTGCTCTGAAAGTACTTTTTAAAATTTTCATAAATAACAGGTTGTTATCTTCTCAACCATCTTTCAAGAACCAAGAAAATCAGAAGTATAATACATAAAGATTTCATAAGGACAATTAATTCACTCATCTATTCAGTAAGTTACATTTGCCACAAAAAAATCTACAGCACAGTCTGTATCACTTCACACTTGCACTGAAAACCTATTGTGCAATAGCCTGTTCCATCCTAGAAGGATCTGGATTTTTCAGCTCTTCTAATTATTTGCTTTTCAATAAGCAATGATAATGTTTAAAAATGTTTTCCACAGTTTCAGTGTTTAAGAATATCTGTCTCCTATGATCCCTACAACTTGCCTAATGCAAAGGTAGCTTGGGGAAAAAGGCCATAATAAAATAGTCAGAAATTGCTGGCAAGCCATAAAACACAGAGAGCACCACTGATGCTGACTGAAAACACATTCTACCTCAGCAATACCCCTGACAGGAACACAGCCAATAGGGATGTCCCCAAATAGTTATGTAAACAAAAAGTATGCTGAAAAAAATGAAGGAGGCAATGACATAACACCAACTCTGTGACACTGTTTCAAAATCATATCACAAATAAAATAAATAATTCTCACCACACATTTCAAAGTAAAGAGGAATGCACACTCCAGTCTAATGCATGTTTTGGTAAAATTCAACTGATCTCATCTATCATGAAAAATTATTTTGCAGTGAAGCATTTCCAAGAGAAAAGTATTATATTAATATCAAATTAATTTTAAGCCAGTTTAAAAGTTCTGCTACTAGTTAACAAGTAAGGTCAGCAGATGAGGGTAACCATCTCCTACAGAAGGAACAGTCCCACTACAATTTCCAGGGAGGGCATGGGTGCTGGTATTTTTTTTTTGTATTTTGGAGTAGAGGGTTTACAATGTCCTGTGGAAAATCTATAAGTCTTTCTCTCACTCTGTGACTACCAGGACACTGGACCTCTTATGCAGCTGCATATCTACAGGGGAAAGCTTGCTTTCTTTTGCCAAGAGCTTCCACAGCCTTCCCCATTGTGTGGATCTCCATCTAACACTCAGCTGAGGAACATTTTCAGCTGCTTGGTGAAGTTATGGATCTGGCTCTCCTATCTGAAGTGCTTCTGTGAACATCCTGTCAGTATATTTTATTCCTTCAAAATGCACTGCTTTGTCACTATTAGGAGTCAGAAGCTATTAAGCCATCAGCTTTCAGCCTTCTTTAGACCTGTATCTACCTATGTGCTCTCACCCTTGCTGCAAGGGCTACCAGACATCATACAACATCATACACTACTTAGGCTTTGTATTCCATGCACTCCTACCACTACTCTCTTCCCTCACAAGGTGCCCTGCAACACAGTGACAGTAATTCTGGGAAATGGGAGACAGAAGCCTAGAGTTTTGACCTCGGTCTCCAGGCAAATCTAACAGTGAACTACCACATAAAAAGCTGCCACAGCCACCTCCTTTAGCCATATTTTAAGCAGGAATTATGACTGTATTTTATAAGTGAGAAAGTTCTGCTGCTAACACATGCCTATTAAGCAACCACCTCAGAGAATGAGAGGTCAGGCTACTGGGACCCACAAGGCAGCAGCAGTAGAAGTTAGTTAGTTAGTTAGTATGAGCTACTTAGGCCAGAGCAGACAGGAGTCTACCACAGGACAGATCTACGAAATGTTTGACTATTGAAAGCTGTGTAACAAAGTGATTACTGAGTTCTTAGCTTTTGTATCACAGTCACTTATACACCCAAGCCTTCAGCTCCAGGCCTCATTCGGCCTTTTGTTTGTTGTATGACACACCTATTTATCAGAAATAATTGCAACTGGCATTTAAATGGAAAATCCACATAATTTTCATCTAGCTGAAGCTTTCAGAGACTTTTTGAAGGATTATGAACCTAAATGATAATTTTTAATGGGGAAAAGTTTCCAGCACAAAACATTCCTTTTCTTCTTGAGAATAAGACTTGTAAAACTGGTTTAATAATTTTTAGGGGTTTTTTCCCCTCACTCCCTGGAAAAAAGAAAAAAATATTCAATGATACTACTATTATAATCATGGAATATGCAGAGTTTGACAGGACTCATTAGAATCATCGAGTCCAGCTCCTGGCCCTGTATAGAACACCCCAAAAATCATACCATGTGCCTGACAGCATTATTCAAACACTTCCCATTAGTCCATTCCAGTCAAGTTACACTTTATTTCTGTTTTTAGCCAAACAAAGAAAATCCACATTAAACTAGCATTCTACAACAGCTCTCAAAAGCAGAATTGTCAACAACATTAACACACCTCAATTTTTAAAATATACTACCAGTGACATAAATGAACAACTTTTTTACCAGTCACAGAAAATGGCTTGAGAAGCAACAGAGACCTATAAACATCTATCACCTCTTTATCTGTGCATACACAGGAGTAAAGCACTAGTACACCTATATATGGCACCAAGCAAACCATCCTACTGGGGGCACAGTAAACACGCTTGAGCGAAGCTAAATCCGTCAAGTATCAATGCCCAGGCTACAGCACCACTGAAACCAGCCCATAATAAAGTTTCCTTACTAAATTCCTACCAGAATTAGGACGTAAATTGTTATAAAACATGTGTCACTAGCTTTTGCTTGTCAGCTGAAACACCAGCTGAAGGATTTAGGCCTTTCTAAGAGTTTTGAAGCACCACTCCAGAGCTCCCCAAGCATACACCATGTATCACAGAGGAGACTGACTTACAGTATCAAACAATCCCTTATCTTGGATGCTGAAATCCCCTCATAAAAATCCCTAAAACTTAATAAACCAACTCATGAATTCTTCTATCAACATGTAGGTTCTACAGCATGGTGCATGTCCCACTGAAATCAAAAATACCATTATGTATAATAAGACAAGAAAGTTGAGCAAGTAAGTGCTGAAGCCAAACCTGTTGCCTGACAGCTGAATGATTAAACCATCACTTGCCTCAGGCCACCTCCAGTTTGCCAATTTCGCTGGAGTTACGCTGCTCAGTCATCTGGGGAAGGGGGGAGAACAGGGAAGGAAATCCCAAAGATCATATTCTTATACTCTTATGTTCGATTAGAAGGAAGAATGTGTTTAAGAATTATACTGACTAAACCTAAAACGTTCACGTCTTATAGGGCAAAAAGTAATAAAATAAAACCTGATTACTTTTCTACATTCTAGCTGTCAAATGCCACCTCATGAGTTCTCTTCTTTTAATATATTCATCACCAACCACAAACTATCTAGAAGCTTCACCGAAGACTGAAGCAACAGATAGAAACTCGGAATAAACCCAAACTGCACTAAGAGATAAGTTATTTTCCAGCTCAAAGCAGATGGCCAATATGAATTCAACAGGGCAAAAAAAGAGAAGGAGGGGAAATGTTACTGAAAAGGAGAAAAGAGAACAACCACAAGTACTCTTGGTGCACCAGAAAGCCCTAACACTAAGCCTTGCTGAAAAACCACAAGGGGAATCTGAGGAAGCTAGTCTGAACACTAGTCGCCCCACTGACATATGGAAAGGCTTCTACACAAAAATAAGTAAAACCCAGGCAACCGAACAAAAGAAGTGTTATTTCCATCATTCTCACTCTTTCTTCTACTCCACATTAAACCTCCTAAAGTTAAGTTCCTCCCAATTCTACCATGTTCTTAATTTTCTTTCCTCCTTCCAGGTACATACCACAGAGTCTATGCTCAGAGGATGCACAGGCATACCAAGCAAGACAGGATAAATGTTGTTTATTACTAGACTGTATAATGTATGTTGGGGCAGGAGGACAGGCCTCTTTTTGTTCCAAATCCCAATTTTATCTGGGCACAATTCCCTATTTGTGAAAAAAATATGGTTTTAGTTATTTTCTGTCATGGCTCCCAGAGGCCTCTAAGCATGGGTACTTATAAATAAAAACATATTATTGTTTCTTATTTTGTCCTTGAGCAGGGAAACAAAAGGGAGAAAGAAACAAAACATGAAACTAAACACAACAGCAATTAAATAAGAAGTTTGTAATAAATATTTTGTGTCTCTAGGAAGGAAATTAAATCTCTCTTCCCTAGTTTACGAAGTTTATTTCTCCAAGCTTCTTGCTTGCAATGTTCTATTATTCAGCAGTATCAAAAAGCATTTTTAAGATACTCATTCTGTTCTATTATAATCAAATCACACAAATATCCAGAAAATGCCTACTTTACCTATAAAGGTACTTTGGAAAAAGCAACCAATCTCCAAAATCTAGTGTCTTTGTCGAGCACAAAAAAGCACAAAATCTGTGGCTGTCTTTCAGAGACAGCAAAGATTTTTATGTTCCTTTCTGGTGACATTTATTTAGGAAACTTGCTATTGCTCCTATTTCAGCCAATAGTACAACAAATCACAGAACCAGAGGATCAGCTACAGTGGACACAATTTATATTTATTTTTAGCTACGGGATGGAGAGGTCCCATTCTTGAATTATTTCTAGTTTTTAACATAAAAAATGCAACTAATGGGTGCCTAATGCAAAATACAAGAAATTTTAGCAACGAAGTGCTAAACCAAACCTGTGGCCTGACAGCTGAATGAATAAATCATTACTTGTCATGAGGCAAACTACCTCCAGTTTGCTGGCTTTGCTTTGCTGCAGTTACAGGGCTAAAGAAAGTCACCTACAGGAGAAGAGGGAGGGGAAGGAAACCTGTCACCTTTCCCAAGATTATTCTTGTTTGAGAAGAAAGAAGAATGGGATTAAGACACACATTGACCAAATGTCAAGGTGTAGAAAGTCAACTTCCTAACTACAGATTGTTGCTGGAATCAATTAAAAATTGAAAATAACACTACATTTTAAAAGCAATGTTCCCAGCAGACAAATAAGACACAGATTAAGAGATTACAATGCAAACCCAATGCCACTCTTCTGATCTGTTTGGCATAGGAACAGGTATTTCCTCTCAGCACATATAAAAACTACACGGATAGTGTGGTGCAATTTGGTAAACTACCTATACAGAAGTGACTTATGAAGACTGATTTGTCAAGCTGCATAGAAACTGCACTAAACCCTAATTCATAGTACTTCTACCCTAAAAATTTATTCCAAGTTTTTTCATACTATCTTTCCCCTTTCTTTTTTTTTAAATCACATAACTGAGAATTCTAAAGGAAAAACAAAATAAAGCCCAAGACAAACCACAAAAAAGCCAAACATGCAAAATCTACAAAACCCCTTTTTCCTTCTAACTTCCTGTACACACAAAAAAGTTTCTGCTTTGCACTTCCAACTAATCTTGAGCAAATTACATCAGCTATCTATATGCAAACACAAATGCAGCTCTGTATTTGCTATGAAACACAAAACTACAAAGTTATTTATTTGGCACTGATTTCCACCCTTGAGATATTAGCCCTCTATATTACACACACACACACACACACACACACAACTCCCCACACCCCCCGTCCCTGCAACTGCCCGGAGCTAAACGTTACATTGTGCCTCGTGAAACCAGGCAGCTCCAGCCTGAGTTACACTCATCTGTTGATGCTGCCTGTTCAAGTAAATAATTCTATTAAAATTCATGGACCTCAATCTGCAGCAGCCTTCAGTCAAACAACGAGCATATCAGGAAGTAACTATGTAAATTAACTATTTTTAAAATGTGTATTTATGGATATTTCAGTATAAGTTATATTTTTATACACAAAAACATTCACTTTTTTTTCTCTTTGTTATGTACTCCCTCACACACTGCCAAAATAAATTAGAAGTTTTTAGTTAATTTCAACAATCTTCTGATCATTGCCTTAAATCAACCATTGTTGAATTACATTCCAAAAAATGCCCAAATAATTATTTGCTAAAAAATATAGATCTGCTAAGTGATCATGAATTACAAAACGGTATTGCAGCAAAATATATTAGTGACTGCTGACCCAAAGAGAGTAATTATATATTCCCAGGACCACTGACATGGAAACAGCAGCCTCTCACATAATCACACCAGTTTAGTTTCAAGGAACTGTTCCAAATCTATGTGGGACAGGAGACAAGCAGTACAAGGGACATTTCACAGAAGGACAATATGAGAGTCCTCCAGAGAAACTTAGCAAAGCACGAAAACCAGGCTTCTGTTCTGAATCTCCCACTATAGTCAACCTTTTCTCTACAAATTATAGAGTGCTTAGAGACACAAATACCCCTCTCTCCCTGTTTTAACCACAGAACTTGACACTTAAAAGCCTTTCATGATCCCATATTGTCATGCAGCATGAGAAAACACGTTATTAGAAAAAAGCAAATTAACAGCATACGTTTCATGGTCCCATCTTCCTCTTCATCGTCATCACTGTTTATTACCATGGTCCCCAAGTCTGATTCTAACATGGTGCTGTTGTGCTCAATCATTGTCTGAGCACCTTCACTCATCGTGCTGGTGGCTCTCATGGTACCAGCGCTCTCTGAATTGGTCTTCACCATGGTGTGAGAGTCCAACTCATCTTCATCCTACAGGGAAACATTTGCCAGAACACAGAATATCATTAAAACAAAACAAAGGTAAGATGCAATCCCTTATTGATTAGTTTTTTATCTTTATGTGACCCAGTTGTACTGCTGGACTCCCAGGTTTGAAACTTTAAAAGAAATCACAAAATAACAAATCTTCCATATAAAGAAAAATAAAAATTCTTCTTTCTCTTGCAGATGCATAACAGGGTAAGTACAACATGGCCCACACATTCACTTTGCATTAGCATTCAGCTTTGAGTTCTCTGTGATTTTCATGACCCACTTTATCTCTCTGGGTTCCAAAAATCACTAATACAATTTATAGAAAGAGATTTTGCTGTTTTGCAAGGGACTGTCACCAAGGGTGCTGACCACCCTTAACTTAGGCTCATGCCCAGCATCTGACATTACATACAGAACCCAGATGTCAGGCCATGTTCAATTTAGCTAATAAACAATCTTCAACAGAATTTTTAAAGTCCCTCTCAGAAACAAAAAAAATCAACTTGACTTACTTCAAGTGTTTACTTCCATTTTAAAAGCTTTGTTACAAACGTAAGTAAATAATTTGTTAATGCTACACATAAAAATAGCCCTTGAGCACATACTTACCCACTAAGTGTGGGGGAGATAATATCAAGGAGATAGACAGTAGCATTTTGAATTGGTAACAGTAATGGGCCAGGAATTTGAAACAGAGCACTAATGACAATCCAGTTAATGAAACGTGAAATTCATATGTAATACCAATATTTGAAAACACTAATGGAAATCCCACTGGTTTCCAAAATCTGATTTAGATTGTACACACAACATCACAGCATTTCAGGAGTAATGTGATGAAATGTGACTATTCACATTTTCTATATTAATAAAATATATTACTCAAGGAAAAACAAATTTAGATGTTCTCATTTGTTGATTAAATGTAAGCAGTAATATCCATCATTGTGAAGTTCCTCTGTGTCAAATTGTTATATTTTAAATGTAAATGCTACTTTCACCTGTTTTACAACCTTATATGCATTCATTCCCTCTACTGTGTCAAAACCTCAGAATTCCTTGATAAACAAATTTTATCCCTGATTAGCAAAATATTTCAGCTACATCATTTGGAAGACTATTAGATAACCCCTGGTTTTTTTTAAATCTGCCCTTACAAATAACATATTTTTGCTACATAGAATCACAGAATTCTTTAGTTTGGAAAAGACCCCTAAAATCACCAATCCAACTGTTAATCTGGCACTGCCAAGTCCACCACTAAATCATGCCCCTAAATGCCACATCTACAAGACTTTTAAGTACATGCAGGGTAATATGTAACATTAAAACAAGTCTTCATCCACTAACAAATTTCCCCTTTTTCCTAAATCTTTGCATTGCTTTATAGATTTTAAATGTTAAACTACGAAGAGACTTGTAAGTGCAGGGGCTTGGAGGGGACAGACACAGAATGGGACCAGAACAAGAAAAGCCCAGACTCAAACCCCTGCAAGGTCTGGCACTTTGTTTCTCACTGAACTCATTCTGTGGCATGGCAGACAATTCACCTCTCACACAGATACACGTCACAACCTTCATGGTCCGAGTGCCTGTATCACTAAGGGCTGGTCTAGGTAGGTACAGAAAATTGAATGTAGCAATACCAGCTCCTGAAAATTATTCTATTACATCTCAACTAAGAGATACAAAAACAGATTTAATTTTGATACAAAAAGTCTGGCTAACAGCGTACCATAATGAAGCCAGGATACAGACCTAAACAGATTTAAATTAAAATTCAAGATGTCAAAAGAAACATTATTTTCCAGATTATAGCATGCAAAAAATACTTGAGTTCTTCATTTGCATTCTTTCAGGGTTTTTTTTTAGTCGCATTCTATTTAGCACCCTACCCTTAAAAAAACTGTGATATTCCCAAAGATACAGACAGCTTACAGTTACAGCACTAGGCAGCTGTGCCAGTAAAAGAATGAGAATATTTTGGTACTGCTCCTCCTGGTGGCAACTTTAATTTTCTTTACGTTCTACTACCAAATGCTACTGTTAACCCCAGTGTTTTCTACAAATTGCATTTTTCCCCTTCTAAAAACAGTACTCAGAATAAAAAAAAGTCGTTTTTGCATCGCATTTTAAAAGTGCCAGAACAGTTAAACTACAGGTGTTTCTTCCAGTACTGCAATACAACATAAAATTGACTTAACATACTGACGATTCGCCTGTTAATCACTACAAATTTGGTATCTCTAAAATACAGACAGACAAATCTCTGAGTTTAAGGCATAGTTACATTTGATTTACCAACTAGGTTGACTAATATTAATATCCACTTGCAGTGCATGTGGCCCTAAATTTACCTAAGCTGAAATAAGAAATTAAACACATTCCTAGAGCTCAAAACTTTTATTGTAGAAGTTAGTGGAAAAAAAGTGATGGCTAACAATATGAATAAGTATGAAATGGAACCTAAATTACCATTTTCATAACTTCTGCTTCATTGAAAAAATGATCTTTTATTTCTTCAGTCAAATCAACTATATGGACTTGGTTCAAAGAACAGCATTTCATTTTTCAGTCTGAGTGCCAAAAGCCTTTATCTTAGTATTGTCTCTCAACAAAGAGAACAGTTATCTCTTAGCACCTAGGAGACCAAGGATCACAAAATCCCACCTTAGTACTAGAAAAACAGTTGTCCCAAAAAGAGAAGTACACAACAATTTTGATGAATGGTGTTTTCCTTATATCAGGAATGGTGTACTGAGACAGAACAATATACAACTTCTTCATGGCCCATGCATGCCTCAGAATAATTAATTTTGTAGCTAACACAGATTGCTTCCAGAACTGTCATTCCAGTATTTCTCACAAGTATGAAATTTAGCAAATTAGACTACACTGGTTCTTAAAAGGTAACTTCATAAAAATGTGCAGCGGATCCAAGTTATGGAAGTGCACATTTACATGATAGAAGAAAGTCATTCCTTCATACAAATTCTCATTCATGCTTTACACTACATAAATATTGGTGTAGAACTTGTGATCTGTTGTTAGAAAAGGTAAACACACTGATTAAATAAAAACAAACACAATCTCAATTTTAACCTGGAAAAAAAAAGAAGTATTAAAGCTGAAGTGTCATGTTCTCATACTGTTTATGAAAACAGATCCAAGAATCAAACAATAAAAACAACTAACTCTGGAGTTAAACTGTCTGCTGCTCTCCTGTGTACATATAATAGCAACCAAACTTGTATTTGGAAGGGGTTTCAGTTACACCACTACACAGTGACAGAAGGTGTGCACAAGAGAGAACTCTAAAATCTCTTGAAATGCTACAGAAACGACAATAGAACTACAGAAACTCTGAATAACATCACAATGTAAAGCATACAAAGTACCAGCAATAACCTGTAATCCTGTAAGACACTCTGGATCTCCTTATTTACCAAAATGTTATTATTAACAAAATCAACCCTTAAAGCATAAAAATGCAATCATAGAGGTTTCATTATCAGGAAAGAAAATACAAAAATACTTCAGCAGAAACCACACACAAGACTTCATGATATACTTGTAAAATGAAAGATCTCATCACACAAGAAGTTTTCTCAGAGAAGTTGGCCTTGCAGACCATACCCGAGTCTATATCATTACAGAAGTGAATGAGCCAAGGTGATACTGATTAATGGATTTTACTGTTGCCTTTTAAACATCAATGGGTATGAAGACTGATTAAAAAAAAACTAAACAAGAGAAGCAAATACGGCAGTAGTTATCTTTAAAATCTCTCCGCCTGTGTTTTGGCATGTAAAAAGAACACTAGAGGGCAGCAAAGACAGCCAACTCGGCTGCAAGGTATTAAATGAAGATTTATTTACACGCTGGCAAAATTTAGTGTCCTGTAAAATAATTTCATTTACTATTAACACCTCATCATCACCTTTGAAACATGTAGCTGTAGTCACAGCTATCTTTTTTAAAGCACTGTAGTAGCTGCATAAACACATAATATAGTTTAGTCAAGCACAAGGATTTTGTAAAAGCTCCTAACATACAAAGCCAAACCTCAACCTGAGTATATGATTAATGCTGAGCACACAAAGCTTAGACCCATCAGTAAAACAGGTAAAAACTTAACTTTCAGCACACTGTCAAATCCCATCACATTCAAGAGACATCTGTCACAAAACAGCAGTTAACTTGTTTTCTACCTCCAGGTAACGACACCTTGCTGTGTGCTCGTACCTCCCCATGTTTATTCTTCCTATAATCAGTTTCTGGCTCCACAGTGCTGTGGATTTTAACAATATGCTATATTTCTAACTTCAGGACACTTTAAGGACTGCAATCGAATTTAATTAACACATATGTCAAGTGTTCTTTGGCATGAAGAAAAAATGGCAGGGAAAGAGAAAGTTTTAACACTTTCATGCAAAATTACATATATATATATATAGACAGATACAGCTATAACATATACATGCAAACACATGAAAGAATCATGAAAGCAAATATAAAAACCTTCAGAAAAGTACAGGACAGTGTATCAGATATAAAATACAGAATAACTCATCTGATTCACTTGTTCCTTTACAACACTGTAAATACTGCAAAAATATACAGGAATAATTACAGCAATTATTTCTTAAAATACAGATGCCAACTTCTCATAAGTAATATAGGATTAACCAAATAACCTTTTTTGTATGAATGAATAAATAATCCTACATATAGTAACAACTGATTACCAACAGTTGGCTTTGGTGTTGATAGTTGTCAACCACTAAGTGCCCAAGAAAAAAAAAGGATCACTGAAGTAGTAATTTCTTGATTTAATACCCTAAAAGACTTAAACATTTCTCACATCATAGCGATATTAAAATGTAAAAGAAAACATACAGAGAGCTGATCATTAGCTCATTCCTTTAAGGGTCCACAGAAACAAATATTTAGACATGTTTTCCGTAAGCTGCCAGGCAACGAGTTACTTTACA